ACTTGAATGTTTACACAGAACTAGAAGAGAAGACACTGATGGAGAATTTGGAGAAACTTGTTCAGGTAGAATAGGTTTATTACTTCTTATAACATATGTTCAATAGTTTGCTCGTGTTTTTACCTCTTTGATTTAAGTTTTGTTTTCATCTTTCCAATAGGAGGAAACATGGGACATTGAGGAGGGAAGTCAGAATAATGTTTTATCAAGTAGCATCCAGGTAAGCACTTAGATTTTCATTATTTTTCTACCGTCGCTTTAGAAGTTTAGTGTTGCAGTTAATGAGAATGACTTGAATAAGACTAAAAGCCTTTGATTTGGGGACAGTGCGTTTTTCCACTGGACTCAGTCACTCTTAGTTTTATTGATGTCATTCTTTAACTTATTTATGTGATATGAATGTTGAAATGTTATTCAATACTCAAATTGGTATATTCTTGATTTCTTGTAGATCCTTTATTGTTTCAAGAAAACTTTTTTCTTCTGGACACTGAATTCTTAGAACTATGCCTTAGAATCTTATATGACCTAATTTTCTTTAGGTCATGGTTATTTCTTTAATGATGTTAGATAATGTGACTTGGTTGCACTTTTTGGTCTTGCAGTTGTTTCTTATAATCAAGAGGAGCTTAAAGCGATGCAGTGCTTTGACAAAGAACCAGACATTATTTAATTTGTTCAAGGTACTTTCTAGAAGTTCCTCACTTAATATCCTAATTGGTGTTGACACACGTAGTGCATACAATATTACATATCCATAAACAACACTCTATTGTGGATGCATAGTGATTATAGGCCATCATTTTTTGTTGCAAGACTATTCTACTTCAGCCGCCTTCAAAGATTAGAAAAATGCATGTTTCTTCTTTGCGACTTAAGCAGTACGAATAATTAGATATTTTTTATTAACCAGAATATGATATGTGCCTCTTTCCAAGTTTAGGTTTTTCAAAGGATTCTCAAAGCATATGCAACAAAGCTTTTTGTAAGACTGCCTAAAGGTGGTACAGGGATCGTTGCAGCTGCAACTGGTATGGACGGACAGATAAGGTATAAAGGGACCAGTTTTAAGCTTCATGACATTTCACAAAATTCTTGTTATTCTGAATAGATGCTATTTTTCTTTTACGCTTAGCAGACATCTGACAGAGATGAAAGGGTGATTTGTTACATTGTCAACTCAGCTGAGTACTGCCATAAGACGGTAAGTAGTTTTTTAGAGACATACAGCTACTCTGACTTTTGAGTGTTAGCTTGATTCCTACGTGCGAGTGAAGCTATAATGCCTCATCTCAACGTAAACTTACAGTTATGAGAAAGGGGTACTATGTCTGATGGGAACCTCTGGATAAATAAGAACTAGATGATTCTTTTTGTCTGATGTATTTTTTTATTTTCGCATTACAAAAGGTAGAAGTTAACAAAGGCACCGATTAATGTAATGATTTACATTACAGTCTATGATTGTAAGGTGTTTGACACACATACCTCCATAATAACTTGAGTGGAAAATGAATCAACTACTTATTGTATTCATCACTGACTGCATTAGTATGTTGCCATTATGTGTCATGTGAATCTTGGTATAAATTTTAACATGGGTGTATAACGTGTATGCTTGTAATTATCATCAATACACGTGATTACCATGTACACTGAGTTTCTGATGGAAATTGTTGTCAGTATTAGTTGGTTTCTCAGGTTTCTATAGAGTTAGTTGACATGGCATGTTTTATTGCTGAAACCATTGTGAGGTGTCATTGTTTTATGATTAGCACTGAATCTGGTGTTCACATATTTATTTATAGACATACACAATAGTACAAGAAGGAAAACTACTATAAATTCTTGCTAATTTATGTTTTAATTTTTTGCAGTCTGGTGAACTGGCTGAAAGTGTATCCAAAATAATTGATACTCAGTTTGCTGATGGGGTGGATATGTCGGAAGTGCAGGTATTGCCTATTTTATAAGTTCACCTAAGGCTTTTTTTTTTTCCTGTTCATTTTCTACAAGAGTTATGCAATCATGCAGGATGAATTTTCAGCCGTTATAACAAAAGCATTAGTAACCTTGGTGCATGGCTTAGAAACTAAGTTTGATGCTGAAATGGCTGCAATGACACGAGTTCCATGGGCTACGCTTGAAAGTGTTGGTGACCAATCAGAGTAAGCTACCATTAATCTAAGTTTTGCTCTTTTACATCCAATACACACTTTCTACAAGTGACCACATCCACCTTTTTGCAGGTATGTTAATGGCATAAATATGATCCTCGTTACTAGTATTCCTATCCTTGGAACACTTCTTTCACCGATTTACTTCCAATTTTTCTTAGACAAGGTAATACAAGGGGTAGACATGTTTCATGTTAACATTTTTCCACAGATCTTGGTCTTGTTTTCCTAGGTTCATGAATCATTATTTATTCCATTTTTTTTTTCACTTTTCTTTGTTTTATTGATATGACATGCTTTCTTCAACCATTTTAAAGTTGTGTGCCACCATCCTTCACACAATTGTCTACCGTATACTTAACACCAAAGTCCTTTCTGAACATTTTGCTAATGTTGTTCCAATCTCTTCATCTGTGCAGCTTGCGTCATCTCTTGGTCCACGTTTCTTTACTAACATTTTCAAATGCAAGCAAATATCAGAAACTGGAGCGCAACAAGTAGGGCCTGCTTTCCTTATAATCGTCTCCTTTTCCTTTTAAACCTAATCTTGTTTAAATCAAGAAATGAGGACAAGTATATATAGTCACTTCTCAAATGAGATTTAAGGGATACATATACCACTTCCCTCGAGTCTTGAATTCGAAGTAGTTTGAATCTTACCTTGTGATAGAAATCAATCAATCAAACTTCATCCTGAATTGTTTTATATATATGTTTCTACTAGAGGATATTGTTCTTATGCATTTATCAAATGTATTTCTTTTTTCTCCAAGCATTTTTGTAGTTTATATCAGAAGTGAACATCGTGACTGATTGATGTGATTCTGAGATTAAAAAAAATGCTTTGTATGTTATTGCAGATGCTACTGGATACTCAAGCTGTAAAGACAATTCTTTTGGAGATACCATCCCTTGGTCACCAAGTGAGTGAATTGTTGATATATGTTTATAGTTACAAGTATGATCAGAACTATTAAAGTACAAGTAGCTCCTTCCTCGTTTATGGTATTAGGATCCTATTAGTGTCACTCACCTAAAGTATACATTCCAGGGTTTAAAGCATGAAAATCATTTCTTGATTCCTACTCATAAGTGCCCCTGATAGTTTTTTCGTCATAATTGACTGGTTATTTTTCTTAGCACACAAATCAAACCTATTAAAAGATCAATATATTTCTTCAAACAGACATCACGTGCTGCTAGCTATTCGAAATTTGTAAGCCGGGAGATGAGCAAAGCTGAAGCACTTCTGAAGGTAAGTATCAGTTTGTTGGTACTCATTCTGGCAGCCTCTGGTTTTCTTTTCTGAAGTAGGTTTATCTTGTCTTTGCGTATAGGTCATACTGTCGCCAATTGATTCTGTTGCGGATACATATCGTGCGTTACTACCAGAGGGAACGCCAATGGAGTTTCAGCGAATTTTGGAACTCAAGGTAATCATCAACTTATCCTGCCTTTTCGCGTCCATTCATTTTTCACATGAGACATTGTTGCTCATTCCATTAATCAAATCAAAGTTCTTAAGAAACTAGAGGAGACGAACTTGCAAGCAGACATTGCATTTTAGCGCATTTCTGTTCTTCAAACTATTTTGAACAATGAAAGAAATCTGCGGATTTATACCACTTCATGAATTAATCCAAAAGAGTTACGAGTTGGATGACCCCATTAATTTGATGCATGTTTCACTGAATATGAGTATGAATGTGCAGGGTCTTAAGAAAGCAGATCAGCAAAGTATACTGGATGACTTTAACAAGCACGGCCCGGGAATCACACAACCTTCTCTCCCACCACCTGCTGCACCACCAATCCCACTCCCAACTGCCCCCGCAGCTGCTCTGATATCAAATCCTGCTTCAGCCGGACTTATCGCATCCAGAGACGATGTGCTAACCAGAGCAGCTGCACTCGGGCGAGGTGCAGCCACAACAGGGTTCAAGAGGTTCCTGGCTTTAACCGAAGCTGCAAAAGATCGAAAAGACGGGCCTTTCAGGAAGCTCTTCAACGCATGACAACATTTTACACCCTACAAATGTAAATCATGCCATGGTTCTTTGTTTCTTTCTTTTTTTTTAATTTTTGTTTTGCTAAATCTCATGCGTCGCTTTCGGACGGATATTTCATAGGACAAAATATTGTATTAAATCTCGCGTTAAGTAGAAATTAGATTACTGCCATTTACTTTTCGCTATTTTTGGCTTGGCGTACGTACACTGAAATCCCAATCAATCTGAGAATAATTTGTAACTTGAATATATGGTGTTTATTTTATCATTATAAACCTCGAATTATCGTCTCTTAATTCTCTTTTGATTTCTTTAAACCGAAGGCCAAAAATGAATAGGGGCGCATAGCTGAATGTTTAAATGATGTTAAAATCACATGCCCTAAGGGAGGTAGAAAGTATTTCCCGGAGACACTACATGCGTTCAAGACAAATGACTTTAACCAGACGCTCCCAAACAAAACGCGACAACGCGCATTAATATGCGTAAGTGTAAATTTTATTGAAACAGAGTTTTTACTTTGTTGGAAGAGAACCTAAGTCAAATCATAATTGCCTGAAAAGCGGACCTTAATTTGCAATCGATCGGTGAAGACTGTTTAAAAAGTTGAACTAAGCTACCGAAGACAACTCCGAGGGTTTAAAATTTAAAGAAGGGATGCTGTAAAAGAGAGAATTGAAATGCTCCAACCACAAAGGCCTGGAATTAATAGAATTGCCCCTTGTCAGGTTGGACATGGTCTGTTAGCTTAAATCTAATCTCAAGGAATAACACGACCTCAAATAAACGACGTAAAATCGAAACATGGACACAATAACACTAAAAAGATGAATTAATTTAGGAGTCCTCCTCTCCTAATCCGAATAAGATGACTTTCGTTTCATATTCTAAATTTTAAACTTAATATAAACAGAAGAAAAAAACACCTAAAAAGACGCTTCCTTGGAGTCCGAGGTGCATAAGCGGGCCTGCACCACTTCGCTACACGCCCCCTCTAACTTCGGTTCATGAAATCAAATAATTGTTCTTGATAATTCTCTCCTCCTGGGTTCCGTATCTTCTTAACTGACATTGCAAGACAGACGTGTCAGTGAATCGTCAGCGCTGTTCACCCAAGAGCAGAGGAATATGTCAATTAAAAGAAACCAACCTGAGCCAGTAAATGTGTGGGATGGCAAAGATCAACCATAAAGAAGAAATAAATAAACAGACTTGCTAATGAATAAAATCCGAAGGGTCTGCTATTGTTTTGATCATCATCAAAACCTGTCATTCCCAAAGCTCCCAAAACGGCTAGAATTATTGTCAAGTCCACCCTGGCGATCCGAACCAAAGTTCCTAGAACCACCAGATCGATCAGAGCTACCAAACACTCCGAAACCACTTGATCGGTCAGAACTACCAAAACCACTTGAGCGGTCAGAACTACCGAAACCACTTGAACGACCAAAACCTGAATTACCAAAGTTTCCTCCATGGTTTGAACTAGATCCGGAAAACCCACTTCCAGATTGAGAATCACCGAAGGAACCATAACGACCGGGACGAGGCCCACTAGATCTACCCATCTGACCAGAAGAATCACCATAGCTATTGGAACGACCAAACCCACCAAGACGGCCAAAACCTGGTCCCGAAGGAGCACCAAATCGACTACCCTTCAGTGCCAGATCGATCTCTACCCATGTCAGGCATCATGTCAATGCTTTTGCTGTCAACAGCAATCCGGGGGAGCTGATGATCACAAAGTAATGAGATAATCAGTCTAGGGTGCAACATACACAAAAGCAGACATTTTCTCCAAGAAATATACAGATTGCAATTTATGAGGCATCCAAGCATGCAAAAAATGATGCGAAGCTCCCCATACAATACCAGAGAGGACTATGTCAGACCTCTGGTAAGCTTCGACTCAAACTAAGAAGTAAATCAGATAGGCAGAGAGCATGCACGTGAATCCAGACCCCACAGAAACATTTTAGAGGAAACACAGATCCTTAATGGGAATGAGTATCATTCATTTAGAGACTTTAACAGGAAAGTGCACAGCACTGCACACCATCCTGAGCGTATAAACTGTCAAGCTACTTTCGGCATATAACCTATTAATTAATTTACCCAAAAACACATGATAATCAACTTCAGAGTTGTGTTAATCTCAATGCCTTGAACTAAAAGCAGCGTCCACCCAAAGAAAACCCTGAAATCCAAAGATGCAAATGTAAAAGAACTTCATCTTTACCTCAGTAAATTTGCATCCTACTTCTTGCTCAATAGTCCTAACAGCCCTGGATTCAGCCTGTGTGTATACAAGAATAGCACTTCCTTTCTTCCCAGCACGACCTGTTCGGCCAGACCGGTGAACAAATATTTCTGGATTATTTGGCAGCTCATAATGTATCACCTAAGACCAAGAAAGCGAAGAAAGTCAATCCAACTCCTTTTCCTTAATTTGAATCCAAAACATTATCAGTGCCAAATGCTTCAGTATTTAAAAGCTTTAATTCAGTCATGAAAGCTAATGGAAGGGAAGGGAAAGAGAACATGTTGTAATAACTGCTTGATTAGAGAATAATATAGTATTAAATTGTCTAGTGATTATCAACTAGAGCATAAACAAAGACATAGATAAATGAAACAAAATCAAAAGTAAATCGTGAAATAAATCTCACCAGATCAACATTGGGTACATCAAGCCCACGAGCAGCAACGTCAGTGGCAACTAAAATATTAAAATTCCCATTTCGAAAACCAGCAAGGGTCCTTTCCCTCTGGCTTTGTGAAATATCCCCATGCAAAGCCTCACATCTAAAGCTTCTTGACATGGCATATGCCAACCGATCAGCATCACGCTTTGTCTGAGTGAAAACAATAGCCTTTCCTCCTTTTGCATGTTCCTAACAAACACACATACTTGATGGTGAGGAAGGACCAGATGTTGGAAAAGGTAAGAGCTGAAAAGGTTAAGATTACTTACTGTTATAAGTGGTCCAATAATTGATGCTCTTCCATATGAGTCCGAAACAATCGAGTATAGAGAAATTCCATCTGCCAATTTCTGATCAGAATCCCCAACCTAAAGCACATGTCAGCTCTCAGTTAGCAAATATGATCAGATGAATATGTCGATCCCATTAGCCATCTTTAGACTAGTAGTTTTTATGTTACCAAAAAAAAATCACCAGAAAACTTATTGCCGCTACTGTAATTTGAATTTTTTTTAGAAACCTAATTCTTCCGTCTTTGCAAACTTTCACTAAATATCCAGACACAAATGGACAAGACAAGTTGCTCATTCAATTTAACCAAAAGTATTCTTGTCAGTCATAGAAACCATCAGGTCACATCCATTAAGCACCACAACAATTTTGAAATGAAGAGAAAACCTTCTGTTTTAAGGTGGTTGTGCTCGGTTTAGCATGCCACTCTTATGATCCGATCCTACAAATAGCTACACAAGGTCGACGTAGAACAGACTAAAAAAAACATACTTACTAGATCAATAACGGCTGGATCTTTTAGATAATTCTGAGTAAGCTTTCTAATCCAATTGGGCATTGTTGCAGAAAACAACAACGTCTGACGTTTCTTTGGTACCCTCTCTAAGATTGTCTCTACAGCCTCCTGGAATCCCACCTGGAGCATCTGATCAGCTTCATCAAGAACAACAAACTGAACTTCCCCTAAATTCAGGGCTCCCCTATTGATAAGATCAATTACACGACCAGGCGTGCCAACAGCCACATCAACTCCATAGTCAAGCGCTCGCATTTGACTTGAAATGGGGGTACCACCATAGACACAGATTGTCTCCAAACCAGGTGCTGCATCATGGAATTCCTTCTCAACTTGCTTTGCAAGTTCTCTTGTCGGGGCCAAAACCAAAGCCAAAGGATTCTTTCCACGCCTATATATAATCAAACATAAATCAAATCCATACTCCAAAAACAAAAGGAAAATGCTGCAAAGAGGAAATCTGATAATCATACCGAAAACCCCTAACGAGCACATTAACAATCTAACTAATGATTTTGATATGAGAAACAAACCCCTTTATGGCATTGTGTTTAAAGATTTTATCCAAAATGGGTATCCCAAACGCAAGAGTTTTCCCTGTTCCTGTTCGAGCGCGTCCAATCATATCCCGCCCTTGCATCGCAGGTTCCAACACAGCCCTCTATAGACAAAATCCCCAAACAATGAATTAATACATAGTCCATACACAAATCAACCAACAAAAAAACTAAAAAAAAAAAAAATCATATTTTTCAATCATTTTCTCATCAACCAAACAGAGCACTACAAATTTGGGAAATGATTAATCACCTGTATGGGGAACAGCTTGCTGATACCCTTATTGGCCAAAGCTGACACGATCTCCTTAGCAATCCCTAGCTTCGCGATCTCGAGTCCGTCATCGTCGCCGCTCCTTCCAATCGACTCGTCGTAGGAGTACTCAACGGCGAGCTGCGCGCCCAGAGCCGTCGACGCTTGAAAGCTCAATGCCCCAGATTTCGCGTGCAAGCCCCTTACTTGATACCCGTACGAAGAACCCAACTTCGTCCTCGGTGCCGAGACGGTGTATAACCTAGCCTCGCCGGCGACGGCACCATTTGCGGAGAGTACGAGCTCGGGGGCCGACGCGCCGAGAAATGAATGGTGGTTGATCAGGAGGGTTTCGATGGCGGCGAAGGTCCGCGCCGTGGCTATAGTAGGCGTACGGCGCAGGATGGTGGTCATCATTTTTATGTAATTTAAAGCGGTTTAGGGTTTCAGAGGAGAGAGAGAGAAACGCTAAGATTTGGGGTTTAGGGTTTAGGGTTTAAGGGAGAGAGGCGAGGAAGTGGGTGAATGAGAAAAACCTCTGAGGCGAAGCGAAGGGGTTTATGGAAGCGAAATGAAAGGGAGATTTACGGGTTGGGATCCTCTGCGGTCGACCTTGGGACCCACGTTTTTCATTTTCCTAATTTGGGCTTGAATCTGGGCTAGCTTTACCTCATTGGAGTCCAATTTATGTTATAACTGAATTTCGAGGCCCATGTCAAACTGTTGCTTATTGAGCTCTATTTTGGGCCTTTTGGCCCATTGTGTACCCAATTGATTCATTGAGTCTTCGGGTTTGAAGACGGCTGTACGACCTGATGTGGAGTCTGGCTCGCCTAATCATATGATTAACCACATGACCAAAATATGCATTGCCTCCATCTCATTTAACATACACACATGGAATGGCTCAATGTTCCTTCAATTTTATCGTTGAGCATGGTTATCATTTGAAGCAAGATGTTTGACAAAATGTCAAAACGAGATCTAACCAGTGTGTTCTGCAGAGTGCCAAATATTTGAGCAAAAAAAAGAAAAAAAAATTGTGGAAAGCCAATACCAAGTTTGTGAAATCAGATATCGGATGAGAAATTTGCAATATCTCTTATCCAGTTAATGGCGCCACGTGTACAAACTTTGTTGGGCAGTGAGATCTCAACCTAATCTGAAACCTGGGTCCAGCACCAATCTCCACCAGGATCTCAAACGCCACATTGCCCACAAATCTTGGTTCCCCCTTGGCCCACACCAATTCCGTATCTTCCTTGTTACATGTACGAAGTTGTGGTATTTGAGAGACTGAGTGAAAATATTGAGTGGCAGAAGCAATAAGGAGAGAGAGAGAGAGAGAGAGAGAGAGAATGGCAGCTCAAGCTCTGGTTTCATCATCTTCTCTAACGGCCTCAAAGGAGGTTGCCAGGCAGATATTTGGAGGAGCAAAGGCCGTCCAATCTCCATTTGGGTCGAGAAAATCTGCTTCCTTTGTCGTAAGGGCGGCCTCTACTCCTCCTGTTAAGGTACGTGAATGTGATTTTTTGGTGCGGTCGTAATACCGTCACGTGGTGTTATGATTTGATTTCGGTTAGTGTAACGCAACTGACGTTCTTTGCTTATGATCTTGTGGTTTGTTTGATTTGGTTTCAGCAAGGAGCGGACAGACAGTTGTGGTTTGCTTCCAAGCAGAGCCTTTCTTACTTGGATGGCAGGTAACGATTTGTGATTGTTCTTTTCAGTGTGATTGCAAAGTGTTACTTACATTGGCGGAACTAGGTTTTAAATTTGGCTCGGATGAGATGTACAAGATGGGCTAGGAATGACAATTAAATTATGTTTGTTTTTCACATGAAACGTCTTGAGTTCGATAGAGGCCAAAAAAGTTAAAATGTAGTCATTCTAGTCACATAAAAGAGGACTGCCGTGATGAAATTCCTTTTTTTCAAAAACCAGAAAAGAAAATTGTGTGTGTCTTTCATTGTTTGACCTTGTCACATAATAAAAGAGAGTATTTGGAAATGGTTAAATATGACTTGCAGCCTTCCCGGCGACTATGGATTCGACCCATTGGGCCTCTCAGACCCAGACGGCACAGGTGGGTTCATCGAGCCCAGGTGGCTAGCCTACGGTGAAGTCATCAACGGACGTTACGCCATGCTTGGTGCAGTGGGTGCAATTGCCCCAGAAATCTTGGGCAAGCTCGGCCTAATCCCGCCCGAGACTGCCCTGCCTTGGTTTCAAACAGGGGTCATCCCGCCAGCTGGGACCTACAACTATTGGGCCGACCCTTACACGCTCTTTGTCTTTGAACTTGCCCTAATGGGGTTCGCCGAGCACCGGAGGTTCCAGGACTGGTACAACCCCGGGTCCATGGCCAAGCAATACTTCTTGGGGTTTGAGAAGTACTTGGGTGGGTCCGGGAACCCGGCTTACCCTGGTGGGCCCTTGTTCAACCCTCTAGGGTTTGGGAAAGATGAGAAGTCGCTGAACGAGTTGAAGCTCAAGGAAGTGAAGAACGGGAGGCTTGCCATGCTGGCAATATTGGGTTATTTTATTCAGGCTCTTGTGACTGGTGTGGGGCCCTACCAGAACCTTCTGGATCACTTGGCTGACCCGGTTCACAACAACATCTTGACCAGCCTCAAGTTCCATTAAGTAACGTTTGTACAATTAATATAATTTGGCCTTTGTTTGTTGTTTGTTATTGTTTTCTGTGACTCTGTGTAATAAATGACATGTTAAAAGAGCTATATTAGAACCCTAATTAATGTTACTATTTACTTCATACTTGACGTATGGTGCATACATGCATTCATTCTTAACTAAGTTCGTTGTTTCACGTGTTATCGTATAAATGATCGATGAATTTACATTTTACAAAGAGATATGTTAAGGAAATTCGCTCAAAATTGGGATTCTCGATAAACTGTATGACACGTCTTATTTTTTTGCACAATATTTTATATTATTAGCACGAGAATTAATGTTAAACTGTGGTAGAGAGTTCAAAAAGAATCACACTTTAAGAAAGTTTCCTTAGAATTTCTCTTTTACAAAACATAATTAATAAATAAAGCACGTGCTACAAATATGAATTGGCTTGTAACGCCATATAACAGTTTTTTAACATATGACATTGTATTATTAACTGATTCATTGCCACTGTGATGTATTGTTCTATTAAAAATTAATTACATGTGTTAATTTTTTAACATATGACATTGTATTATTAAAAAAGACGACATGTAATGGTAAATTCATTTTATATAAATCATTCTTATGAGTTAAACGCAAGCTTGTTTTTCATGAAACCGGTCAAGATAAAGACAAAAACACAGTTGGTATCGTGAGTTAGCTAAAGATAGTATTAGAAATGACATAAAGGTCGTATGCGACACATCTTGGCTTGAAGCTTAAGTTTCTAACCTTTACTTCCACATGTGTTTCGGATGTAGCAAAAAAGTAGATCCATGTTTATACATTCCTACCAAATACAGTGATTGCAACGTTATTGACAATATTGCTATATAATCACACCATAATGATAAAGGTTGAAGTTTTACAACCACAAACCTTGATGAGGATTTTACTTACAAAATTGCTAACCAATAGAACAAATAATAATGATGACAACAATGCAGTTTCGTTACCATAAAGCATAATAATGATCAAACGGAAAAGTTTGCAAATCGAAATCAGTTTATCTATATGTAGATTCTCACGCGTTACGCATCCATTTACTATTTTAATCTCAATTGTTTCCATTTCTTGGGCGAGATAAGTAACCTTTAGTTAGGTATAAGACAAGACGGTTAGTTGTTGAGTTGTTTAAGTCAAATGAAAAGCGCGTTCACAACGTACAATTACGATAATGGTTAATAAGATACTAAAGAGTTGAAAGTAGCTAAATCACTTGTGTACATATCGTCGATGTAATTGCAGCTTGTTAAAAAAATAATTCACATACACTTAGAAGGTTGTAATCTTGAATAGAGAATGTCGTTAACTATAGCCAGTGCTTAAAATTTTTGGTAAAATGTCAATAACTAATTATATTTGTTTGTTTTAATCAAAGTAAGAGCGATTTTCAAAGAGATATATGTCAAATCCAAACATCAAAATTCAATTTGAAATAACATATTGAGAAGTTTTGTTGTTTTAAGTGACATGTCAAATCTAATTATGCTCTAGGGCAATTAGCAAGAATGATCACTTTTTAACATTTGATCATAGAAATGATCAGTTTTTAATAATAACGACATATTGATCATCTAACGACCACACAATAATGACATGATGACAATTGATTTTCTGCAACCAAATCCAAATATAAAAAAATGTTCCGTCATGCTAATTGTCCTATGATCTATTTGTGATTTCGTAATGTGATTTATTATTTGCCCGTCCACATATGCCCTCGACTAACCTAAGGGCTTACAATGAACTTAATTTGATGTCAACATGATGATAAATTACTCATCAACTTTACTCATTCATCATGTAATCAATCACTTAAATGCACTACTTAGTTGTAAACGCACGCTATCAGACTCAGCAAATACGATTTATTTGTGCATATTTCCAAAAATCAGTTTTGTTTGTAACTTTGTAGCAAGGAAAAACAAATGAAAACCGCCCATCCAATCCAAGATCCAATCTAATTTTGTTTCAACAGTGGGATGGGGCCCTATATAACCATACGACTTGAGTACGTAGAGAACAAATTCCCCATCTCCAATCGCACCATTTTTTTAACAAAGCAGTTAGTTCCCTCACCCCCTCCGGGCTTGTTCGCGATAACATCAGCAGCATAATATTAAGCGAAAGGGGACGCCGGGATTCTGCTTCGCTCTCGCGCACCACGGCCGCTCAGCAACCGTGTCGGTTCCAGATCTGTCACGGTTCGTTCTCAATTTCTCAAAATTTTCATGGATCTGTTGCAGTTCCGTAACGCATGATTTGATTTTTGTTGTAATTTTAAATTTTTGGATCTGGGTATGCGTTTTTTATTATATTATTGGTTGTTAGATCTGGTTGAGTGAGTATTTGAATGTTTATGCTCTGTTAATTAGGGGATCTGATGCAGTTTGAGTATAGAAATTGAACAATTAACAAGTACTTGATCGATTTTGTTAACCCAAATGTTTAATTTTGTGTTTTTAGCTTAAATTTGTAGTCTTTGTGTTCTTTTGGCTGATATTAGTATTCTTTTTGTTTGAAATTTGTGTAGATTAATCGGTGAATGCATCTGTAAGAGTTAGCTTAGATCCACTGCTCACTCCAACTTGTGGTGAGTGTTGTGTTTTTTTCGGTTCTGATGGCGATATTGAATCCGGGAATGCCCTCAATCAAATGGGCTCTGCATGTTTTGGTTGTTTTTGTGCACACCTGTAATGGGTTTTATCTCCCCGGAAGCTACATGCATACATATGCGAAAGGGCAAGAAATCACTACAAAAGTTAACTCCTTGACTTCTATAGAGACTGAGCTGCCCTTCAGCTACTACAGTCTCCCTTATTGCAAACCCCCTGAAGGCATCAAGAAAAGCGCTGAGAATCTCGGGGAACTTCTTATGGGAGATGAGATCGAGAACTCTGCGTACCGCTTTAATATGAACGTGAATGAGACTCGTTACCTGTGTACCACAGATCCTTTGACCGAGCACGACGTAAAGCTGCTGAAACAGAGAACCCGCGATCTGTATCAGGTCAATATGATCCTTGATAATTTGCCCGCGATGAGATATGCTTATCAAAATGGGGTTAAGATTCAGTGGACTGGGTTTCCTGTTGGGTACACATCACCCAACAGTAAAGAAGATTACATCATCAATCACCTCAAGTTCAGGGTTATGATTCACGAGTATGAAGGGAGTGGTGTGCAGATAATTGGGACTGGGGAAGAAGGCATGGGTGTCATTTCGGAAGCTGATAAGAAGAAGGCATCTGGGTTTGAGATTGTTGGCTTTGAGGTTTACCCTTGTAGCATTAAATACGACCCAGAGGCCATGAAGAAAAAAGCTATGTATGAAATTATCAAACCTGTAAGTTGCCCTGCAGAGCTCGAAAAGGCTCAAATAATAAGGCAGCAAGAGAAAGTATCATTTACTTATGAGGTTGAGTTTGTGAAAAGTGATACAAGATGGCCATCAAGGTGGGATGCTTATCTGAAGATGGAGGGTGCTCGTGTGCACTGGTTCTCTATTCTGAATTCATTAATGGTGATCTTTTTCCTAGCTGGTATAGTTTTTGTCATATTCCTAAGGACGGTGAGGAGGGATTTAACAAGATACGAAGAACTCGACAAAGAATCTCAAGCTCAGATGAATGAGGAGCTCTCTGGGTGGAAGCTTGTTGTGGGAGATGTGTTCAGAGAACCAGATTCTCCAAAGCTTCTTTGCGTGATGGTTGGGGATGGAGTTCAGATTACTGGGATGGCAGTTGTCACTATCATCTTTGCAGCATTTGGTTTCATGTCACCAGCTTCACGAGGAATGCTACTGACAGGAATGATCATTCTATATCTCTTCCTTGGGATTATTGCTGGTTATGTTGCTGTCCGTATGTGGAGAACCATAAAGGGAACTTCTGAAGGGTGGAGATCGGTTTCCTGGTTTGTGGCATGTTTCTTTCCTGGAATTGTCTTTGTTATTCTTACAATACTGAATTTCATTCTATGGGGCAGCAAGAGTACTGGTGCCCTTCCCATTTCTTTGTACTTTATACTCATCTCCCTCTGGTTCTGCATTTCCGTGCCTCTCACCCTTCTCGGAGGCTTCTAGGCACACGAGCTGAGCCAATTTCATATCCCGTGAGAACCAACCAGATTCCGAGGGAGATTCCTGCACGCAAATATCCATCATGGCTTCTTGTTCTTGGTGCTGGGACACTTCCGTTTGGAACCCTTTTCATTGAACTCTTCTTCATCCTTTCTAGCATCTGGCTTGGAAGATTTTATTATGTCTTCGGTTTCCTTTTTATAGTGCTTATGTTGTTGGTTATCGTTTGTGCTGAAGTTTCAGTAGTTCTCACATACATGCATCTTTGTGTGGAGGATTGGAGGTGGTGGTGGAAGGCTTTCTTTGCCTCAGGTTCAGTTTCCTTTTACGTGTTCCTGTACTCCATCAATTACCTGGTATTTGACCTGCAGAGTTTGAGCGGGCCTGTGTCGGCTATCCTTTACCTCGGTTATTCATTGATCATGGCAACTGCAATCATGTTGTCAACTGGCACCATTGGCTTTCTCATGTCTTTCTACTTTGTTCATTACCTCTTCTCATCCGTAAAGATCGACTAGAAAAGCAGTTGGCTGGCATTGTATTCAAACAGATGGGAAATGTGAGTCTGCTATATGTAGGAGTAAGAAGTACTTTTGTTAAAAAATTTAGCCTTTACACTTGGTTGCATCCGAAAGCTGATGGTGTTGCGGTATCTCAAGCGGCGCTCCGATGATAGTGCATGAAGACCTTTGTTTTCTGCGTGCTGTCCTCGTTTGCGACGTCGCCAGCGGCAGTTCTCCGTTTACCCCTCTATCCCATTTTGTTTTACTGCTTCACTAGTGTTGCGCATTTACTTCATATCATATTGTGTTAGAAATTGTAATTTGTGGACCCTCAATCCTTGTATTCTCTTCTATTTCGTATTTGAAAGGAAAGGTAAATTGGATAATTCTTTTAACTCTCAACGGATTGATTTTTTGCTGGTAAGTTGATTTATGGGATTCGGTTCGGTTAAACTGTTGACTTTGTTTAAGTTGAGAGCTTAGGAGCGTTTGATAATCATTTATTTTTAGTTTTCAGAAAATTGAAAAAGGAAAACTAGAAAGCTACTTTTTCGAGTTTTCAAAATTTGACTTGGTTTTGGTTTGAAAACGGAGAACGATTACCTGAACATGTTTCAGTTTTTAGTTTTCTCGAAAACTGAATTGATTATCAAACGAACGCTAAATTACTCAAAATTTTTACTGTTTTACTGTTCATTGGTAAGTGAAACTTGCCAAATCAGCAAACGTAAGCTGCCAAAATTTTACACCAAAAGGCAAAAGGTAAATCTTAACTTATGAAACTCCACAAGGAAACAACACAAAGGTGATTTTGTTCCTTCATCCAGAGTGCCATATCACTCCATATCTGGATCCGGGTTGACCAGGTAAGCTTCTGCAGGGTCATTGTCCAAGCTCTCCTCCGTTTTCTCGTCATCATCGGCATGAGTAAGGAAATTTTCGACAGATGAATTCTCCGAATGCCCGTGAGAGGTCGGGTGGCCTTCAAGACTAGGCTGCATACCGGTTCCCTCGGTCATCTGATATGCAGGGTATGGTTCCAAATTTCCTACACCTGCAATGCCGTGAAGTATGGCTGCGGCTGTTGCAGCACCAATAAACTGATCAGCAAGCTTCTTACATGCATTCTCCATTGCTAAATTCATGAATCTCCGCTCAGCATCCTGACGGATATGCAATCGCCTCCCAACCTGCAAAGTTGTGTACCATGAATAGAGAAGTAGGTTTACATTTATCAACATAAGTTCCCAAATTAGTTTCCGAACTCGAAAACTTGCCTCAACTTGCATACTAACTCCTTCTTCATCTAGAGCTTCCTTAGCTAGTTTGTAAGAGTGCCTATACATGGAGCCACAACCCAAAACATAAAACATCATAGCATTTACAAGATAATGCACTTGAAAACGGAACCTTTGGAATGGTAATCCCGAATAGAGTAATGATTTTCCGCACTCTCATTTTCTATTTCTGCACTCATCCTCTTGTTTCCACCTTTCGGATTGAATAAATCAAAGGAAAATCAAGCGACAAAAATACATAAGCTGAAACTGAGAGTGCGGAAACAATCTACCTTTCCGAGTAAGTTAATAAGTACATTCGTATAGAAGATTGAGGAGCAAAGCAAATCATACTTTCTCCGGGATCGCTTGGGCGAGGGCGTGGAAGTACTACCAGGTGCTTCCGCTTTCTTCCAAGTCCTGTGAAACTGAGGTTTCTTTCATTTAGTGGCAGTGAAAATCTTAATGTAGCAACTCAAACATGAAATTTCTTTCACAACTCGCAAGTTAATTTCATCACTATATCAACTGTTTAGTAAAGGACATTATTACTGGTATATTTTTACTGCAGCAAGTTTTTGCAAAAGAACATACAGGTTTGAGTCCCCTCTCTCCATTCCTTCACCGCGTGCCTTCCAAGTCTGTATTTCTGCAAAAATGATTACCACGTCAATAACTTTGAGTGAAATTTGAAAAGTTATATAGTACTATTAGCACTTAACAATAGAACTCCGGTAAATATACGCAAACAAAACTGGTTACAAACTTTTACATACGAGGGACACTAACAAAACTGTTTCAGTGCAAACTGAAGCGTAAGACGAACATGCAATGAGGCCAAGGGCCAAAATGCAATGAGGCCAGGGGCGAAAGTGCAATGAGGCCTTCCTAATTCAGTACTTTAATGTATTTCATTTTTATTTTTAAATAAAATAGTGAAAACTTTTCAATCTAATCTACCACCAAAACACTATAAATTTGAGGCCCATATTTAGGACAAATTTGTAGGTTTTCCTTCTCAATTTACATGTCATATAGTGTTTTTTTTTCACAAATGATAGCATTTGTGGGTCAAATTGTTAGTTGGTAGGGGAAGGGGATCCGGAGAGATTGAACTTGCACCAGGGTGCATAGGCATGATTACTTTTCGCTAGTCTCGTAAAGCGCCATTTGCTTACATATGTCTTAGTTTAGTGCTCATCTAATTCTATTTTTTTTATTAAAAGTTTATAACCGGTTATGTTTGTGAATATTTTTCGAGGAATTTTCCTCAACCATCAATGAATCATGCATGGATGAAACAGACCTGGAGGTGGCTCTTCAAGTGGAAAAGAGTTATCCCCTGGACACCCATTGCCTCCTGGATTTTCTTCGGAGTTGCGTCTGCAAGATGAAACGCGTGATAAAATCAGATAACCGAAATCCGAAAACATGCGAAAAATCTCAAAGCCAAGGAAGTAGGAGAAGGGTACTCACTGTGAAGGCCTCCAAGCTGATTGACAGCATCAACAAAGCAGGCATGAAGCTCAGGAGTCCATCGTAGGCGGGGTCTGAGCTTCGCAGCAAGAACTCGGTCTTGAGGCAGCTGAAGATCACACGTTTCGCGATCAACCTCCTCCTCCTCCGCCACTTCTGCCGCCTCCTCACCCTCCACAACAACGCTGTCACTGCTATGCGTGACGGTAGGAGTCGGTGAAGATCCTTGAAAATCCTCTTCATCACCACCACCACAGCCAAAACCAACCATTTTCCCCTTCTTCTTTTCAGAAGAGAGAAAGCAAAGCAAAAGCAAATGCAGAAACGCAATAAAACCAACGGGCATAAAAGGTAGCTCTTCTGTGGTGATGTATAGCTAGCTAGCAAGGAGGTTACATGAGGAAGGCACAGAAGAGGCCAAAGCCAGCAGGTTTGTCTTTAATTTCTACTGCATGAAGGGAAACGTGGAAAGCTATGCCATTACTCCAGCCCTTTTTTTTTTTTTTTGCATTTTTATTGCCAACGATATTATTATTCTAAGTTGTACTAAAAAGAGCGGGAAAATTTGAACTCGTGATACAGTGAGTTAAAAATAAAGACCCTATCCACCAGTTGCTCCATTACACCACTTAGTTTTATATGAATTAATTGTCTTTACCTTCTTCTTCGTTACTACTCCCAAGGAGTTAATGCCAGACTGCACTTGTAGTGGTACTAAATGAATATGATCTGACCTTTGGTTTGAAAGGCAGGCCTTGCTTTTCCAGTTTTCCAGCTTCCTTTGTTTTGCTCATTTAGTGTTGGTTGGTACCTGGTACACATATAGTTAAGAAGAAAATACCTTACTCTGACATGTAACAAGATGTTTTTCTTTTATCGTTACAGGTAAATCACAATCTTGATACGTGTTAAAAAAAGTTTATTTTCATTTTTAAATAGGGAAGTGTTATTGGCCCTCCAAAAATCTCATTCTACATTCTTCACAAGTGTATTTTTCTTTCCAAATATAGAAAGTTTGGAGTGTAGAATAAGATTTTTGAAGTGTCAATAACAATTCCCTTTAAGTAAGTCACTTCATTTTTTGGTTCAGAGTCACTTCAAAAAATTTTCTTTGCACACTTGTTTTCATGCTCAGCGCACCTCTATTTGTTTATGTCTATTAATTCTCTTTTGATAGATTCAATCTAAAAGTTAAAAATAAACACAGATGTGCACAATAAGAAAAAGAGTGCGAAAATCACTTATGCTTTATTATACCTGTCAAAAGGAGCCAACCATATTTAGCTATGTTGCACTTAATTTTTTTTTTTATTTTTTTTTTGTACCTAATGCAGCTTGGACGATCCACATCTCAAGGTCAAGTGTTGATGACACATTGAGCTATCTATGTGGCCGAGAGCCCTCATAGGTCAGTAACGACACGGCAATTATCAGAGAGACACTTACCAATAAGATAATAGCCTTTTAGAGACGTTGGCTACGCCAAATGCGTGAGCAATTCATTGTTCTCTTTCATTTTTTACATAACGGACAATTATCTGAAAGACTCTTGACTAATAAGCTAATAGTTTGTCGAAAGGGCCCGCTATAGAAAATGCAGAAGCAACTTATTGCTATCTTTCATTTTTAACGTAAACAACACAATTATCTGAAACCCGCTATGGAAAATGCAGAAGCAATTGTCTTTCCTTTATGCCCGAGAGGAATCTCATTCACTCTAAACATAATTTACATCACCCACTGGCTATTAGTCTAGTAGTACCTCTCCTTCGAAGGTCCAAGTCCCTTCACACATAGATCCAAAAAATAAGAAGAATTTACACCACTTTCTAAGAGAGAAAGTAACTATGGTGGTACATTAAGAACAAGATAATGAAGGAAGAATACTTAGACAAAAGGGTGAGCAATATGGTTGGAAGATCTCTTGTGGAAACATACAAAGGGTTCAAAGCTCTTCCAGTTGCCATATAGTTTGATTCGGAGTCCTTTCGTTGTTGTGTATAACGGTACATTTAAAATCATAAATGTAGTGACGTACAATAACACCTACCATTTCTACTTTACTCTTATTTCCTTTTCTCTAAAATTCAAGTATCACAGTTCTGCTCTCTTAAGGTCCTCAAGATGAAAATCTGTGAAGACCAAATGCATATTAACCACAAAATTCTAAAAGTTTGTTTAGGTCTAAAGGCTTAAAATATTTGACACTTAATAAATCAAAACTAACTTAAAATCCATGAACCAATAGAAAACTCTCATGTTTTGCTTTATTAAGTTGTCAAATATTTTAAGCTTTTTGGATCTAAACTAATATAGTCTTGTGACTAATATGCATTTGATCCTCACACATTCTTAAAATGAAGACCTTAGGAGATCAGAACCGAATAATTTAATTTAAATAAAACCTTACATTTGTTTTATTTTTATTCGAGTCATACTTATTCTAGGTTCAATTTCTGGCGTTGATGAATCACACGATGATGATCAGAGGAAGGCTGAAATGCATCTGTCAGTCTTTCTGGTTCCAAAAAAATAGACTGCCGTGATGAAACCATCAGCTGATCTTTAAAAAAAAAAAAAAAAACATGACTACTTTAAACAACTTGATTATGTTGAAGTACGAACCTTCATGA